GAGTTCCAGGCCAGCTGGGGCTACAAGGAGACCCTGTCTCAAAAAAAAGACCAAAAAAAAACAAAACAAAAACAAAAACAAAAACAAAACAAACCCCAAAACAAACAAACATAAAAGCAGAGTGGAGGGAGGCTAGGAAAACCACCTATTTCCTGATCCATCTACAGTTTCACTGTCTTAAACTTGTGCTATGTCACTAAATATCTCAATAAATACAACATTACTAAATCTGCTAATTGGTGATAAATTTTCAAACATCTTGACTCTTTGGAGGCAACTGAGAATAGACAATACTATAAATGCTAAAACTTCAAATGTCAAAAGTTAACTCTCTTGAAATGGCTCTTATTTACCAAGGATGAAGTCTTTTTTGTCTTAAAAGGGGAAAAATAATTCAACCAGAAAAATAAAGCAAATAACATGCATCACTGGTAAGTTAGAAATGGAGAAAGAATGCCTGCAAGCTTTTCTCCTGGTTCCATGTCCTTAATCCTATAGCAACACTTAATGTACAGTTAGTAATATTTGCAGACTCCAAGTTATAACAGCAGTTCAGTTATTGTACAGATGTGGAGAAATCTTTATTGGTCTGAAGAAAAAAATTTCTGAGGAAGCCAGAAAGAAAACTGAGTTCTAGGACTAACTGCACTGAAATAGAGTCAAATGGCCCTGGTGGGCATACCACTCCTATTTCTGTACCAGTTTCTTCACTTGCTAAATGTCACAACTGCCTTGTCTACTGAATCTTCTCTCTCTAATGAGCTTGTTTATGTGAGAACACATGCCAAAACGAATTCAACTATCAAAGGAGTCACAGTAATTCAGGGCATTACAATTGAGCATCCATCAGGGTCTATCATGAATTAACCCCCATGATATAATAATGGTCATGACTGAGAATGAAAATGTGGTACTGACTCATGTCAGGTCATTCTACACAGATTTCCTCAGCATAACTCCTTTTCACACTGCACCTGCTCCTATTCTGCATTTCCCTATCCTTCTTTATTTGATTAAATGCTATGCTGCACCATCATATGAAAGAAAAATCTGTCAAAGAGAGACATACCTCTTTTTGATTTCCTCTGCAGCCTGGACCACTGACTGCAGCTTACTGACATCCACCCGCACAAGGCTGACTTCTGCGGATGGGTGATCAGCCAGCAGGGCAGAACGAGTGCCTCCAGCTTTGCTCATGTTCCGACACGCCAAGCACAGGTGAAGTTCATCATCTTCCTCCAGCAGCCTCTTGCAAAGAGCTAGCCCAATGCCACTGGGAAGACAGTTCAGACACAGGGCATGAGTTCACTGAGACGGTGCCAAATGAAGGCATTTCTCTCTAGTTCAGAAACCTGACTGTATCAACATGAGCTCCAATAAGAATTCCACGCAGACAGAAAGCACTCAAACATCAAGTAAGGAATCCTCCACTCTGATGTCACTTGATGGGGCTCCTGCCCAGTCTCTCCCTTCCAAAAAAAGTTCAATGACACAATGAGTAGGGGTTTACAGTACTTACTACATTCTTCATAAACGCAGTTCACTACATCAAGAGCAGGTGGTAAAGGTATCTTATTGTTTATTATGTCCACATCTTTCCAAAGCAAGGGCACTACTACCCCTTGGTAATCTTGCTCCTATTTTGAACACTCAGAATCCCAGAGAGGTGAATGGATAAGTTTTTCAAGAAGCAGCAATAACATGACAGGAGAGTAGCATAACCAACAGAAAGCGAAAGAACTCAATGTGTGGAAACAAAGAGTAAAATATGTACTCGATGGAGACCGAGGAGGAGGAGCAGGGATGAACACACCACACAGAGGTTTCCAACAAACCAGTTCAGAAAGAGCACTGATAAAGTGCCAGGCAGACAGGGGCAACTGCTCGCAGCAATGAATTGCAGCTTGGGCAATACATTCTCTCCCAAGAATTAAATTGATTGCAAGCACAGAGAACTCCAAAGACAGTCTGGAACCAACACAGTCTGTTGGCCCTGCCAATAGAGCATCCAGCATATTTGGGTTTATTTATCCTTACTTCAAAGTAGCAGACCTTTAAGTACAAATACACAATTGCACATAACACAAAATCAATCCTGACTATATGCACCACCTGGACAAGAAACACCAAATCAGTTGACCTAAAGGAAAGGGCACCTTAAGAAAATGCCCAATAGGCACCACCACACTGACTTAGTTAATATGGATGTGTTCAGTAATTAAAACAGGCCTATCTTAAGTGGCACTTAAATCCTGTCTTAATCCTTCAAAAAACACCAATGTAACTGGTAGAAAATAACTGGTATGTTTTCATGCTCCACACATTCTTCGTATCCCTCTGATTGAGGAGGTCTAGCTGGCACTAATGGAGGCTGAGGGTCAGATAAGCGAGGCTGGTGGTTGCATTAAGACTGTAGTAATAGAAAAGATTACCCTTCTGTGTACTGGTGCATGCATGTGAAATGTCTAGTACTGTGCTCCCTGGAATCAAAGTTTGACATTCAAACACCTGGAAGGTAAACCATGCCGCGAGTTCAGGGTTAAAGTGAGCTGCAGGTACTGAAGGTAACGTCTGAGAAATGGATCACTTATGGGGAGAAGTGGAAACTCGGGGCCCCTAGGGAGCACAGGCTCCACATCGCTGTCAGGCTGATCCCTAACTGGAGCTCTAGTTTTCCTTTCACTGTCATGTTTTATTCAAAGCGCCAGTCACCCAGCATCTGAGGAGGTACGTCCCACCCCTCCAGGAAGACCGAGAGCTGGCGGGGCAGGGGCTCGGCCCGGTCGCGGGTCATCCACCTGCGCTCCCTTGCACCCCGGGACGCAGCCTCCGCCATCCCGAAGGAGGCCTCACCTGCTCGCCCCGGTGATCAAAACCACCTTCCGCATCTCAGCGACCGGCACGCCGCGCAGCACAGCGGGTCTGCACCTGTGATCCCCGCAGACTTGAGCCCGGACCTGATGTTCAGCGAACACGAGCATCCCGACCAATCAAAGCGAGGCCAGACCCCGCCTCCCCTGGCGTCTTCGGCTCCGCCACCGGCGCGCCAATAGCAGCCTCGCATCCTCTCACCAGGCGGGGAACCAGTGGGGTGAGATAGGCAGAGGGGCGGGGCCTCATGACGCATAGGTCCCAGCCAATCCAGGCAGTCCCCGCCTCCAGGATGCAAGGCCCGCGGCCATGGCGGAGTCGCAGCCCCACCTACCCGCTGTGGGCGGAATCTCTGGCCGGGATAGGGGCGTGCTGGCCGCGCGGCGTGCGGAAGCTTAGGGGAGGGTTTGTGTGCTATAACCGAAGTTCCAGGGTTATCTTTTAGAGATCCTACTTCCTGATCCTAGTCTCCTCCAAGGTATCTTTAGGACAAGGAACGTGGTGTTATCAAGAGCTTGATGTCGAATCATCGGTAGACTGAGCAACCGCCAAGCCTGGAATGTGCAATGGAAAGGAATCTCAGAACTTCGTCCTCTAGAGGAAAGGATACTGTAGTCAGCGCCTGTCAGACTGAGGTCAAGGGTCTGTTTATTGTCTCCAAGCCATTCCAGATGCGTACTTTGGGGTGGGGAGAGAAAGAAAAGGAAGGGAGGGAGAGAAGAAGAGAGGCAGGAAAGGGAAAATGCATACAGATTAAAATCCCCAATTTTTAAAATTCAATTCATATAAAAGCATTCTGCGAGACCCTGGGCATAGTGGCGCACGCCTTTAATCTGAGCACACCGGAGGCAAAGGCAGGCCGATCTATGTGAGAGCTAGACCTGCCTGGTCTGCATAGCAAGTTTCAGGCCAGCTGGGGCTACAGGGAGACCGTATCTCAAAATAAAAATAAATAGTACTCCACGAAACTGCTCTAACTATTCCGGCTTTCTATTTATACATCCACGGTATTCCAGGGTAACAACACAGGGAAGTACACGTGTTCGTACATTGCACTACTGAACAAGCTGCATGACCTCTTTTCAAAGTTGTAATTATTTATAGATATCAGTCCGTGATCCCTAAATGACTGAGATAATCTTTGCTGCGCTTTGATCCTAAATGTTTTGATGAATGATACCAACGAGCTTAGTAATTATACTAATAAAATTAGACAGAAAACAAATTTGACCATTTCAACTGCTCTTCAGAGATGACAGCTTAACAATATTTTCTAAAAGTCCTGGAGTAAAATTCGTCCCCTATCCTGAGATTCTAAACCCAAGCCATCCTTTTAAAATGCCCTGTTCCAAGGAAGAGCCTAGAATCTAGGGGCAGGTGGTCCCTGCTGGAGGTTTAGCCTCACCACACCACAATCTTGGGGTGAGAATCGGTAAATTCTACCCAGTGCCAGAAGACTTCAGAGAAAGCCTGCAGCCTCCCCTCCACCAACAGTTCCATGCAAACCCAGCGAGGAAACTTTGGTTATTTCCTTTTTCTGATGAAGTTGCTGCTTTCAAGGCCCTGTGGCCTTGGAAGCATGGACTAGACTGTTAGAATCGAGCTCTGTTTTTAGCAGTTACCATTTAACTTTGTAATTTTAAAGAATAATTTATCACCTGGAGGACACAGCCCAGTAACAATTGAGGTATATTTTTATTCATAGGTGTGAGGATTTTTTTAATCATCCCAAACTATTCACCTTAGGTGTGTGTTTTTCAGGGGCTCAATTTTGGGGTACCAGAGTGATGTGGTATGCAATGAGTCCTATCACTGATAAAACGTGTTCCCATTGTTTGAACAGTTAGTGTACCAACTCCATCAGTGATTGTTACACTCCATATAAAATGTCTCTATGCTAAACTCTGAAATTGGTCTCTAACTCCTTTTATGGTACAGTAGCAAGGATGGAAAAGGTGTCTGTTGCTCTCATAACAAAGCTCTGCTCACGTCTCTTACCTGGAAATCATGATACATTCAGTCTGGTCCAAAACTAACTCTGGCTTTCACCCAGTTCATTGACGGTAAAAAGTCATGTGTTGCCTTGTGTAGAACCCCAGGATGACACAGAAGGACTACTTACAGATGTATGTTCACTTCTTCTACATATATGAAATGACTATAAAATTATAAATGGAAATCAGTTTTCTAACCCTCTACAACTTAATCAGAACCCTTCAAGTTGCTAATGAAAACTAAGAAACGCCATCATTTCTATCCTCATTAACAATCTACACATTGAGACGCATGTATAGCATGCCTGTTTGTATGTGAGAGTGTGTCTTTAAACCTTGGCAATAGCTGTTAGTCAGAGAATTGAATCTCTTTGAACTTCTCTAACGCCTTTGTTTCCTTTTCCCCCTTTGAAAGCCTTCACCCCATTCCCACCACTCAGACACAGGGATCCCTGGTCTTGAGTCCTGGAATCAAATCAGACACTGCAAAGCCAGAAGGACACAGTCATTCATAAATCCTCTGATTCTCTTTGAGAACTTGTGTCTATTCCCTTTTCCCTTGAGATCATTACTGAAAGAAATACACTCATGTTGCTCAGAAAATTAAAATTATCTATTTATTCTGCAAGTAAAAAAAATGTGTTTGGGCAGTTTCACCCTAATTTGTATTGTGAAGGGTGAACCTGAATTCTGATTGTATACAGTTTTTTGTTGGTTTCCGCTTGTGTGAGCAGCTGTCTGAGACAGGCCATATTTGGATTTATCAAGGATGTCTGTGCCTCAAACAAACTGCATGACAGTAACAAAACAGGATCTCAAAATAACTCTGATCTGGATTTCCCAGAATTGGACCAATTAGTGTGAAGATATAACATCACAGTTTCTACTGTGTTTGGCATGTCAGAGACATAGCCGTATTCGTTAGCTGTCAACTAATATGTAAGAAGCCTTTTCCAATGACTGTTGGATAGCCCCAACAAATGTATCCACACCACATGCATCTACAGCTCTCTCCCCATGTCTTATCACTTCTCCAAAAATGATGTAAGGAGTGAAGATAATAGAGACCAGATCTGGCACTACGAACACAGAAAGAAGGCTCCATCAGTAGCATGACTCTTTAATCATTGTTATTTACAATTTATCATCTGACAGACTTACAGAGAATAAATAAAGAAAATATACAGTTGGTATCACGTTTCTTTTTCTAATACAGAGGACTTTACGTATTCTATTTTGGAATGAATAGGATAGTTTTAAGCAGAAATTAAATCCATTTGCTGTTTACCCCTTGACAAGACACATTATCTGCCACAGCCTACAGAAAAAAGCCCAGATGTTTCCTCATCATAGAAGAGTACATAGTATTGCTGCAGAAACTCAGTCCTCAGAAAAAGCAGACAATAGGGGTGAAGAGCTGATGTCATGAATAGTAAAAAGTATTCAAATGAATAGCATAGATTACAAACCCTTGGTGTGTTTGTAGGAATGCTCCCGAATTTCACTGTTTTCCAAACCTCTTTTTAAGAAAACACTCTTGCACTGAGAGCAACCCCTGTGCTTTTCCTTGGCAAATGTTTCTTTGATATACAATTGTGATTGTGGATCAGCTGGCATGAAACATAGATTTGTTTTATAGAGGCCAGTGAACTTGTAGATATAGTATATGTAGGAGAAACTAAACAGTTTGTTTCAAATAAGCTGAGTCTGGGGCTAGAGTCTGTACTCTGCTTTTGATCTGGTGCTCTGACGAGAACTCTCTTGCATAGGTACCTAAATACTTCAGAATGAAGCATCTTCATCAGTCAGTTTCATCATTACAACGTGTACAAGGATGGCTACATTGCATATAGGAGAGGTGTGAGCACTTTTATCTTAACTGAAAATAAGTCTTCTGTGTTATAGCAAAGCACTTCTCCCAAAATTCACCTATTATACTACACAACAAATTTTTCCATACTTTATTCATTAACATAAAATTCACAAAATATTACCAAGTGTTCACTTATGTGCTAGAAACTTTATAAGCCATGGACTGTTATCATGTAACCTTTAAGTAGGATAGCTTAAAATGCCTAACAGAAAACTCAAGGTCATAATCCAGGGTTTTAACTTCTCCCCAGCAAGCTGCTGTGTTTGCATTTAATTTAGTGGATGCTTTTACAATTGAGAATGAAATTTCTCTGCTAGTGGAAAAGAACATTTTATCACACTAGGGGTTTATACCTAATGTATTATACTCTTTCCATTACATTTCCTACTTCTATTAAGTGCCATCTAATTCTTAATGAAAATACTGGTTTATTCTAAAGCCCTCTCCTTGTCACCAGCAAAAGTCCTACTCAATCTGTCTAGAATTCTCCTCTAACAAGTTAAGGACAGGTCTTACTGTCTTTTATATTGTCTAATCTTCTTAAGTAGTTCCGGGTTGTTTTAGATGCCAAACAAACTATTAAACATAGAACCAAGCAGGCAGGATGTTGTTCACTGCTATGTGAACATATTAATTTGTTTTCTCCCAGTGCTTGTAGAATCATATCCAATATAGTGTCTTTTCTGCTGCATGCCAGTCAGGCCAGGTTACAAGCCAGCAAGCATTCATGTCCAATGAGTAAGTAAGCGCAGGTAGGAAACCTGGTGAGATCCAAGTCAAGCCTGGAGACTACAGAACCAGTCTCCATGTGCTGCTTTTAAAATGATTCAAAGTGAACTATGGTTTCTGTGGCTGACAATGGACTAAACTATTATCAGTGGTGGGGAAACTAGTATCTAGGGTAAAGCCACTCTGCGCTGATTCTTGTTTCAAATCTTAGATTGTTTCAAAATAAGTTTTCAATAAGTATGCAGCAACTAAATATCACTATCCAGTCTTCTACCAGTCAGTGCAGGTCACTGAAGCAGAGAACTCAAATCTGCTAGAAATCAAATCACCAGTAACCACCCAGTCTCTTTCTTTCTTAGTTCAGTGCTCCAAATAATTCACCAAGTGCCAACAACATCCATCTGTTTCTAGAATATAAAATTTCAGCTCAAAAGGATCTCCAAAAGTAGACCAGGATCTACTTTTTGTGACCAGGATCACAAAATATTAGGGGCCTACCCCATTCAGCACCCAA